CCACATCCATTTGCACCATTCAGGTGACCCTGAGGACACAGATAAGCCTCCAGGTGGCCTCAGTGACTTGCTAAAAGAATGTAAAAATGAGCAACTGTCTGCAAGGAGTATATACTTCCATTCCCGACCATCCAGTCAGAGCTGAAGAAGCTTCTTGGATGAGAAGCGAAACGTCTTCCAAAAAAACCCCCAGAAAGTCCAGTTGCCTCTTGAAAAAGGATCTTGGGGATACATACAGTCTCTGTTCCTTCAAACAGCTAAGCATCACTTTGATTCATGTATCAACATATATATTTGATGCATTCACTTTTTATGTCCTGTATCTGTATTAATATTCTATAGCCACAAGTTAAAACTTAGCTGGGGAAGCATTTTATTGGGAAAAAATGAAGTGATTCTGTTGCATTATTGCAGTATTATTGTTTATAATTTTGTACGTTCATTACAAAAAAAAATGTATACTCATTTCTAGTCATTTATTCTGCAAGACGTATGTGCCAAACAATGGTTTTAACCTCTTATTTCATCCTTCCATCTCGCTAGTCATGCTGTGTTAGCTAGGAGAAAATAGATCTCCAATCTCTTTGACTTGCTAAAAAATAAATTTAGCCCATTGTCTGGCATCAAATACAATTTCTATCCTTTAACTTACCATTTCATTAAGTTGTTCATCCGCCACACTCAAAAGAACTAAGATAAGCATTTAGCTTAAGATGGTGGTTTAATGTTGGAGATTAGACTAAAAGACAATATCAACTATCAAATTTTCTTGGATAGTTTTACTGGAGCATATGCGTGCCAAGACACAGAAATCATGCAACTAATTATAACTTTATTTCTAAGGATAAATTTTGTTTCTAAGGTCAATACCTCATAATCCAAGCATTGTGTAATGCTCATGTGGCCACTAAAGGAATCAATAATGAAGAGAGGCAACTTTAGTTGAGGGGTCTGCGAAATCAGAGAATATACCACTTTGGAATTTGCAGTGTCTTTTTGGTCTAAGTCAAAAGCTGTCATTTTGTAAAAGTTTTCACCTACAATAGAAAAATTGAAGCACATTAGAGCAATATCATACATTTAATCGGAGTCTATGGAAAGAAAATGTTTTAATACATGTCCATTACTAACATATAAACTATATGACACGTAAGATTTCTGGCACTGCATGAATGTTGCCACCTAAAGGCAAATCTAGTCTTAGATTTTTATTTCATATAGACCCATGATGGCAACCTGTGCTAGGGGTGGCACGCAGAGCCCTCTGTTTGGGCACGCACGCTGTCACCAGCTGGTCTTCGCGGGTGCTGGAACACTGGAAAATGGCCTGCAAATGGCCCAAAAAACTGCCAAAAAACCAGGCAGTTTTCCAGGCCATTTCCAGGCCATTTTGGGGGTTGTTTTCAAGCTGTTTTCTGGGTCCTATTAAGGCTGTTTTCTGGGCCTGAAAATGGCCCCAAAATGGCCAAAAAACCAACATGCATATTCCAGCATGTTGGAAACCCGAAGACCAGCTGGCTGGTGTGCACATGCACACATGTGCACCAGCCATGTGCACACCAGCCAGCTGGACTTTGGGTTTCTGGTGCACCGGTGTGCATGCACACACCTTCTGGTTTGAGCACTTGGTGCCAAAAAGGTTCACCATCACTGATATAGACCGTAAGGGAACTGGTTTGATATAGTGGTGAAGGCATCAGGATAGAAACTGGGAGGTTGTGAGTTCTAGTCCCACCTTAGGCACAAAGCCAGCTGGGTGGTCTTGGGTCAGTTCCCCTCTCTCAGCCATGGGAAGCAGCTAATGGCACTACTACTTCAGTGGTGGGATTCAAATAATTTAACAACCAGTTCTCTGCTCTAATGATTTCTTCCAACAACCAGTTTACCAAACTGCTCAGAAAGTTTTACAACCGGTTCTCCTGAACGGGTGCAAACTGGCTGAATCCCACCACTGCACTACTTCCAAAAAACCTGGCCAGGAAAACTGTAGGGACTAGTCCAGGCAGTCTCCAGGAGTGAACACTGATTTGAAGGCATGCAAATAAATAGGAATTATTACATGAAAATGCCAACATTTAACATATACAGATAAAGTATCAAGCATCCAAGTAATAAAGTCTAAAATTAAAACATTCATTAGTATGTAAAAAAGGGTGTGCATGAAAATTAAGCACAATAACAGAAGATGGTAAATTACAATCCTTACAATACCATTAATTATTCTTTTAGAAACATCACATTCAGTAATGCGTTGTTATTTGTTGGCTATTTGGCTATCAGAGGGGTTATTCTGTTATGCAGGGTTGATAAGCTGAGAGTATATCGGTAATTATTTCAGTGCCAGTACCAAAACAGACCCATAGTTGATTGTGGAAAGGAACTTAGTTATGTCCCCTTGTTAAATTAGGATAGAAATTAGATGCACCTTGAAGTGTGCATCCAAATAATGCATTCAATTGATATTTTCCATGTGGCTTTCAGGACAGATTGTGCCTTATTCTGTCATTTGTAGCTGGAAAGGAATAGGAAGAAATATAGATTTCAGCAGAAGGTACTTTAAATTTACTTTGACAGTGAAAAATCCCAGAAATTGAAAATGATTGAAAACCTTGGGGGGGGAAAACCCTATTAGCTTCCTATAAAAATGCACACAATGTAATTAGAAGAGAAATGTTTCTTTTATCTCTATGTAGGAATGGACACGGTGACTCAGTGGCTAAGATGCTGAGCTTGTCAATCAAAAAAATCAGCAGTCTGGCGGTTCAAATCCCTAGCACCGCATAACGGAGTGAGCTCCCGTGACTTGCCCCAGCTTCTGCCAACCTAGCAGTTCGAAAGCATGTAAAAATGCAAGTAGAAAAATAGGAACCACCTTTGGTGGGAAGGTAACAGTGTTCGGTGGCACCTTCGGTGTTTGGTTATGCCAGCCACATGACCACAGAGACATCTTTGGATAGCATTGTCTCTTTGGCTTTGAAACGGAGATGAGCAGCGCCCCCTAGAGTCGGGAATGACTAGCACATATGTGCAAGCGGAACCTTTACTTTTACCTTAGGAATAGATCTCTTTTTTTTTAGTTAACTGGCAAGAAAAACAGAGAAGAAAAAAGGACAGGAATCAACCAGGTGCAATCCTATCTGATGTTGCCCAGATTTTAAAGGCTACTCACCTTTCTGGTAACTTCCTCTGATGACGATATTGAATTCCCTTTGGGAAAACTGAGGCGCATTGTCATTTATATCCTGAATCTGAATGACGACATTCAAGGACTTTGCTAGCAGTTTATTATTAGTTCTATTACGAACATCAAAAGTGATCTGAACAAAA